GCACGATGCGTCCTATTGTAGATTTGCGAAAACTAAACCGATTCGTGAAGACAAAACATTTTCGATTGATCTCCCACGGCTTAGTCCCAGACTTTCTTCAACCAGGGGATTGGATGATAAATAGATTTATCACAAGCCTATTTCCATCTACCGGCAGCGAGATCACACCGACGATTTAATTAGGTTTATTAAGGCGCAGTTAAAAAGGGCAGTTATACGAAAATATGCCTTCCTTAGCGTTCCTTGGGCTAGCGTCAGCACCACACCTTTTCTCTGCAGTATCATGTTGGGTCGCGGAGACCTTACGTGCGAAGGGATGTCGAGTGCTAGTCTTCCTAGACGACTACCTTCTGGTCAACCAAGACGACACCAAGTTAAATTCTCAGGCCGCGGAGGCCGTGAGACACTTGGAACACCTTTTAAGTTAAATTCTTAGACCGCGGAGGCCGGGAGACACTTGGAACACCTTCCCAGTTAGATTCTCAGGCCGCGGAGGCCGGGAGACACTTGGAACACCTTCCAAGTTAGATTCTCAGGCCGTGGAGGCCGGGAGACACTTGGAACACCATCCAAGTTACATTCTCAGGCCGCGGAGGCCGTGAGACACTTGGAACACCTAGGTTGGAAAATCAATTACCAAAAATCCGTAGTGGTACCAACCCAAAATTTAGAATACCTTGGAATTCGCTGGAATACTTCGGTCAATGTGATGTCGCTACCCAAGGTAAAAATACAGCGCATAAACCATAGTTATGCGTTGCATTCGCGAGTGACAATGTCTGCTAGGACAAGTAAGCTTCGCAAACTTTTTCGTGCCCCAAGGGAGGCTTCATTGTCGTCAGGTACAGATCTTTCTGCGACAATTCATCAAGATCCGACCTCGTCGATGTCAACTGCTGCCTCAGATTGTAGGGCAGGAACAGATGTGGTGGCTCGGAGCTACTCATCAGACGACGCCTATACACATTGAACCTGCAACCCACTTCCTAGCGACGGACGCCTCGGATTGGGGTTGGGGGGGTCACATCTAGACGGAAACCATGTCAGGAAAATGGTCATACCAATAGAAAACGTGGCACTGCAACAAAAAGGAACTACATGCAGTGATAGCCGCAATAAAAATAAATGTAAAAATATTACGTAACACACACGTGTTAATACAATCGGCCAAATGAAACTCTGATTGCATACATTCAAAAAGAAGGTGAAACGAAACCGATAGGGTTACTTAACACTAACCTTCAAACTATTGCACCTGACGGACAAATTCAACATAACTCTGTCGGTACATTACCTACCAGGGTGATCATAGCAGACAGATTATAAAGGGAAAAAAAAAGGCTGCGTAGTGGCACCTTCTTCCTCTAGCATGGGTGTTCCCCCCTCGAAGTCTGTTACCCTGAGTTTAGCACACCTGAACCGGGTGACGGGAACCTATCTGATAGTTGTTTCAGATTGGCCGCGAGGTTTCTTTCTGCAGGACCTGAAATCCAGTCTCTAGATCACCCCCACGAAATTCAACACCTATCGGAGACACTCCTAGGTACGACAACTGCACTGCCTCCTCCACAAATACAAGCATTGACCCTAAAAGTTTGGGAAATTGGGGGTGGGGTGCCCAAATAAAAGACTGGTCCACACAGGAAAAAGATCTACTTTTGAAGAGTTGGCGTCACTCCAACTTGTCCACTTTAAAATTTAATATCACTTTTTCTAAAAGAGAATTTATCCTATTCAACCATTCTTGTTCGCAAATCGGCTTCGGTTTTATCTTTTTGCGGTCCCCATGTAGAACAAAAAACATTTTCAAATTGTTTTATTAAATACACCCTCGGGGTATTAAAAGTAGCTTAACCAAAAGCCGTGAAATCATCCGTCACGTGGGACCCGCGAATAGTACTAGACTGGCTTTCTTCCAACCCTCCTAGGGACACTTTATTCGATACGGCTCGCAGAACAACCACAGTATTGCATTTAGCATTGGGCCGCAGGTTTCACTTTATTTGAAATTACTGACGAGTAATTCGTGGATGATGGTGGTAACATTTATTTAACACCGGTATTCGGATCTAAGACAGACACTCAAGACGCCAGTCAACATGGAAACTTTCTAAACACCACGATAAAAATATATGCCCTATCACTTTAGTGAGACTTCAGTTAGTCCTGACGACTCATTGGTCTAGTGGTTAGTACCCCTGACTGCGAATCCATGGGTCCCAGGTTCGATCCCCGGCTGGGACGAACATCAATGTGATGAGCATTTGGTGTTGTGCTTAGGTCTCGGGTGTTTAAATATGTAATTATATGTCTTTCTATCTATAATATGTATGTATATCCGTTGCCTAGTACCCATAACACAAGCTTCACCAGCATAGCATGGGACTAGGTCAATTGGTGTGAACTGTCTTCTTTTGTAAAAAAAAAAAAATTGCTTTGAGTAACAGGTACAAGAAGATCTCAAGTAAAAAATCTAAACAATATTTTTATATCCATCAACAGCACAATAATTAGGTCGAAAATCAACCAATAGATGAAATTTTTTATTACACGGGGTAATTGGAAATCTTCAAATACGAGTACATACATTCTTTAATCATTACTGCCGCGAGATACTCTCGTAGAGAAAACTCATCACTCTTTCTTCAATACATTTGCACCATCGTAATTATAGAAATACCTTGTTGTGAATTGTGATGATAGGAAGTTTATATTATTATGTTAATTGTACATCTCAATCAATATAGTTATATTTATACCGTAACTAAGAATAATAATTATTGCTAAATACTTATGCTTTGATTAAGAATATTGGCAAGTAAATAAAATTGTTATATAAACAATAACGGCTTTAGCTAAAGCCCTGACTTTAATTCTTCATAATCATCATAGCGTTGTGTTTTATACTGTACTTTATACATCCACCAGCAGATAACAAACACGTCTTCATTATACAATGCTGTATGTTTTCCGGAGGCACATCAATATGACGGTTTTACATAAAAATAAAACCGATATTATGTGCCGAGAAGGAAAACATACAGCATTGTAGGAAGCTCTTCCTGGTGAAGACTCTATGACTGTGGAAATGACAACGTCCTAGCTGGTTAAGATAAGTATGAAGTTGAGGCGATTACAGCGCCATCTATTCTATCTAAGAGGAACTATTTCACTCGGTATGTATCGCACTTCATGGCTAAGTATACATTGCTTCTTCATTATACAATGCTGTATGTTTTCCTTCTCGGCACATAATATCGGTTTTATTTTTATGTAAAACCGTCATATTATAAAGTTAAAATCTTAAGTGTTTAGTTTACTAATATATCTATCGTTATTTAATGATTGTTCTTTGGCTAGTTTAAGTGCATCGGTGTACAGCATTTTAAACTCTATTCAAAACCAGCTGATTTTTGCTATATTTTTCACATAATGATGAATAATTTATAATAAGGGCTTACGATGTGATTATTTTTAACAACAATAAAAGATGTATTGATAATAAAGAACTTTTCTTGTTATTTCTTTTATCTGATAAAAAAGTCTAATAGATTATTCATTAATTGTGTATTTTTTCTGATTTGTTTATTCACAAAATAAGAAATATCCATATGCTATTTTATAAAATAGTCGTATAATATGAAAACTGTCATTCGAGATGAATCGCTAATACGGAAATAACTTATTGTTACGCGTCGTTTACGTTATAATTAAAATCTTGTTAACATGTGTTGATGAGACTAATATAAAAACGACGATATTTTTTTTTTAATAAATAGTATGCTGAAGAAAATGTTATTATCGATAAAAAATATTTTTTTTTAACTATTAAAAGTATCGTATCATTAAACTTTATTGTTTTATTTAATATACATAATTTACTTTCTATTTGCAAAGTTTATTTATTCGATTTTGATATTAATTTTAAATTAAAATTCTTTTATATTAATTTTGAAGTAAAAATCTAAGTCAACTTATAACGTAAGTAGTACAGAAAAAATTTGTTAAAGTTTTCGTATTCGAAAATGAAATTATATTACATATCATCTATTTTAAATGAATAATTAAAAATATTGACTGAGAATGAAAAAGAAATTGGTTCTAGAATATATTGTATCAATATATAAATATATAGTTTGCATGGGACTAATCCTTTTCTATTTTTCTCAATCAATATATTTAATCAGGAATGTTAAAAGAATGGATAAGTACAAGAAATACGACTTTAGATGTTAAGAAAGAGTTCATTTTGTTTGTATAAAATAACAAAATATAAATGAAAGTAAAAACCGGGTGATGATGATGATTTTGTTGTTGCTGCTGTTATTGTTGTGTTGTCTCTTTGAATCGAATTCAAATAGGCCGCGCATAATTTACGAGAACTATGCGCATTGATACTGCGCATGCGCAATAACATTTAATTAAGATTTATAAAAAAAAGTTAATTATTATTAAATTACAGGATAATGAAAGCCGAACAGTTGTTTATTTTGAACGAACAGTTATTGAATAGTTCTAAACTATTAGAAAGAAAAAAAGAATATCAAAATATCTATAGTTCGTGCCAAATTGAGGGTCAATTTTTTTACAATTAAAAAAAAAAAACGAACAAAAAATTTTTTTGATAGAACAATGAAGAACAGTTAACGAACCGTTGATAAACCCAAAAAAAGTGCAAAAAATTAATTTCCCCCCGCCAACTTAAGAGAGCCACCCACCAAGAAGTGGGTATAGCCGTAAGATTCAATACTGTCAAATCTCATGATATGTCAAAGTATTTTGTTTGCACTTATGTCACTGCAAATTGCAATAGTCAATGTCAAATAACAAATTACATATTACTTGTAATCCGGCGTAGACGCTCATTTGAATTTTTGGATACATAAAAAAATTGTTTTGCACTTTCTGTTCAATGTTTAATTTAATAAAAAAGGTTCATAATATGCTTTCATTTATACCTTATTTAAAAGTTTTGGGGTAAAGGGCATAACATCACAAAAATGTATACACTAAAGTGTTGTAGAGTCTGCCTAAACACTAAGAATCTTCATCTGATCTTTACATATCCTGAACACAATGAAAAATACACCAATATTCTATTAACTATTGCAGGAATTCAGGTAATTATGTATATAACAGTTGATTGAAGAAATATAGAAGGTTTGTGATGCATGGGCTGTTGTTGTTACAAGTTTTGAGATTAATGATTAAATTCCGTTGTATTAAATATTCCGTTTAAACTATTTTTTTTTAAATTTCAGATCAAAATTAACGATGAATTGCCACAAGAAATATGTTCCAATTGCATAAAGTTTATTAATGAATCCATTCAATTTAGACAAAACTGTGAAGATGCCGAGAACATTCTTAGAAACTTCAAAATTGATGATCCAATACCTCAACCCCTTGTTCTTAAAACAGAAGAACATACATCAATCAACATAGCTCATACAAATGTTGATTTTAATGATTTCGATGATAATGTTACATTAGACACATTAAGAGTTGAAAACATTCAATGTGAATCAGATGATTCACCGTTAGAAAATTTGGAGCCCCAAGGGCCTCAAAAAACAGTGAAACAAAGTACAGCTCGGAAGAAAAATGTGAGGATTATAAAAAGTACTGTATAATTTAAATTTTAAGTTTTCTTCCAGATATTTCCTCTCTTATATATATTTCAATGGCCTGAAACTTACTTTATTATAAACTGTACACTGCTAAAGTCAGACATTTATGTTTAGTTCTGATTGGTAATCCTAAAATTTTGATTGCCAATCCATTTATAATGTTAGCAAACAAAAGATTTTTGTGAAATGTCCTAGACAATAAGCTTAAGTGATATTGCTACTGCTACTTCATGGACAATCACAATACCAGGAGGCAGGAGTATATGTTAATAACATAAATTACAGAATTAATATTCATTAAATGTAATTAGTACTTTACTTGAAGTAATTTATTACATAATTTTGCTTATTTAAATCTTTTTTCGGTTCCAGTAAAAGAGGGAAATGACAAAAAAAAAGGCTCCCGTGAAGAGATAGAATGTGAATATTGCCATAAGATATTAACATCCAAATTGTCACTAAGAAACCATTATAAAATACACACAGGCTTTGACGTTGTATGTGAGGTAATTGGTTTCTTGACTACTTGAATGCTTCAATGATTAAAATCCCTATAATTTTAAGTGTCACAATTTTTTTTAATTAGGTACATACTAATAAATTTTTATATTAATGGACTTTAGTGTTTCGAATATGTCAGAACAAGTCCCAGTAAAAATGTAATTGCTGAAAAAATCCAGTCATGAGTATAATGTAGTATGTTGGGGCTTATATCCATTTCATCTATAATGAATATGTATACATGTTAATACTTATATTTTTTTTATTTATTGTATATATATGTAACTACTATACAATCATTAACAATTTAAGTGTGAGTGTGACATGTATAATTCAAGAATTATCACAACATAATCAATTGTACCTATATTACTTAAAATTTTTATTGCTTTTTTACATTAATATGTTTTGCACATTCATTTAAAGAACTTGGTAAATCATGCTAACAGTTACACACGTGGTTATTGGGTGCCCTATTATATATGCTCTCATAAAGTTTTCTGCCTAACTTAATTTTCCTCTTAATATTTTTTTGTCTTACAGCACTGTGGAAAAAAATTCATAACCCGGCGTTTGCTTCTGATGCACTGTCGAGCAAAACATGGTTATGAGAAGACAGATAAATGCTCGTATTGTGACTATAAGGCATCCAATGCAGAACAGGTTAAAGTAGGTATTACATTTATTATAATAAATGACCCGACATTTAAAAAAAATATTGTATGTGAATTTGCTGTATTCACTTAAAAAAATTATGCATGTTACAAATAGTAATATTAAATTTCTTAGCATCTTTTTGTAAATGGTATAGGTTGGGTGGTAACCCAACAAAACTCCCATTTTTATCAAAACTATCTTTTTATACACATTACATCTCTATTGCATCTTTACTAGTTATTACTTTGCTATAGATTCATGAGAGGCTCCACACAGGTGAAAAACCTTATGTTTGCAAGGAATGCAACGCTGGTTTTCATAGAAAAAGTAGTTATTTACAACATATAGCTATACATCTACCGGAGAAGACTGTTCAGGTAATTTTAGTTAATCTTATGCATACAGTAGTTTATACTTTATAGGATTTATATTATTTTAATATTGGGTTAAAATAACAAATTTAAAAATTATGTTCAACCATCTGATCCATGTAACAAATAATTATTTTAATCCAGAATGGTGATATTTTAAAAAAACGCATTTCCTTTTATTATGATTCTACTGTTTGATTTCTGAGGAAACAATACAATGTTTAAAGATTAATTACTCACTTGCTTTTCCACACAGAAACAACAACACTTTATATCTATTCATAATTCCAAATCTCTGTATTTTTTGTTTTTGTTTTAACTTATAATATGTATGTTTTATTACACAAATAAATAAAACATAAGTATAGTAAACCTCATAACAAAAATTAACTACATACCTAAATTAATTTTAAATTTCTTTTCAGTGTGACCAGTGTCCAGCACGGTTCAAATCTGTAACACTAATGCGTATACACAAAAACAGACACAGAGCACCACAATACAGATATAAGTGTGGTGTATGTGATAATAGTTTTGCAAGACGAAGGAATGCTGCCAGACATTTGCAAAGAGTTCATGGTGTCCCACCTGACCATCATATACATAGACATAATATACATTGACATACTTCTAGTATTAACTATGCGATTAGATAATTGTGATAGATAAGACAAATCTCTTGTTGTGCATTTAAATCCTGAATACAATTTTTCTTATGTGGGCAAGTAACACTAGATCATACTAGGAAGCTAATCTTTTAAAGGTAACCAGGATGTCTATAAAAGAAAATGATCAAAGAATCAACGTCAAAGATCCACTCTAAGGCCAAGAACTACATGGTTGAAGCCATAATGTTAATAAAATAAAATTGGAGATAGGTGGAATTTGCAGGTGGGCATAAACTCTTCTATAATGTTTTAAGACCAGTTGTAAAGAAAAATGGCATGCATGGAGATAGAAGTGACATCATTGTTGGTTAAACAAGACTTTAAAATGATTCACTAATATACACAAAATCTAAAAAGTCATATGACTTTTGTGTTGTGAAAGTTTTCAATTTAAATAGAGAAACAAAGACAATTGGACACACTGTCAAAGAACATCTGTCACATCCTAACCTACCAAAATGTACAGGTTCTGAGATGTACACATCTCTAATGCAGAATCACTCATCACACACGCAACTCATCTCGAGTTCTATATTCAAATTAAAACGAAAAAAACTAATTTAAGAAATTATATAATTTGTAAGATAATGCAGTATTGTATTTACGATGATTATTTATTAATATTAAGTTATGATAAATACGAAATAAACTATTTTCTTAAATATGTTTTGTTTTATTGAGCAATGGATGCTATATTATATTATTCCAATACTTTACTGTGAAATTAAAATTTTGAAGAAACAAAAACACAATATGTTTTACCAGCTATATTTCATAAATACAACATAATTATAAAGTTGGAATTGTGTTGCCATCTTATTGTTAACGTCTGAATTCACTTTATCCTTAAACTAGAGATGATTAGTTTTTCTTGTTGATCATTTCTTCTAAGTTTTTCATTTCAGCTGAAAGAATAAAACAAGAATTTATATCATGCAAGCTAGCTGGACAAAAAAATTAATGTAGTTATTTTTTGTAATATAATCTCGAAGATTGACATATTTATATAACTTATATACTGAAGCAACAACAAAAATATTTCTATTAGTACAGAGAATTTTATCTTAATAACTTAATTATATTGGTATGTCAAGGTGTCTCTATAGTATGGGGTGTAGTAGATTATATGTAGAACCCACCAGCAGCAGCAATAGCCTTCTCCTTCTTGATCTTTTCATCCCTGATAACCTTCTCTTTGGCTTCAATCTCTCGGATTTTGGTTTCCTTCTTCGATAGCCTGTTTTGGTGGAAAGCACCATACAGGATACCAGCTGTCAGGAATGACCATCTACCAAACTAAAAGTTAAAGTATGTAATAACACCATTAAGATAATCTTAATAATTTTTTTAATCCTTAATTATTTTCTCAATATTATCTTTTTAGATGCAAGTTTAAGCTGGTATATAAAGCAATTTTAACAGAGCATCTAAATTTTATTATAATGATTAAATTTAACTGATTTATTTCTCGAATTTACCTAATGTATGTGATGAGGATGTTCTGTAAGTTATAATTATTATAGAGTAAGATCGAAGAATATACGTTAGGTTGATAGAACTGCGTTAAGTTTAGCAAGTATAATACTATATACATATAATTCCTATTTCTATCAGTATTACAACCCTTTTTATTGAAGAAAATTCAATATCCCTTCAAAACAGTGTTACATAATAAAAATTTAAAATAAGAACTTACTCTGATCAGAGGAGATACACGCACTGGGGGACCGAATGGGAGTTCAGACATTTTTTTCGAATTTCAAATAGAAATTATTAATCCAAAAAAGGATTTTATATAATCCCTGAAAAAAAATCCTGGCACAAAATATTGAGGTTATAAAAATTAAAATGTTGCTACTTTCTGGTTATGTCAGAAATGACAACTTAAAATAGACTATAATGCCTCTTGCTTAGTTCAGTCTTTATTTTTATGAATGTAAATTATAAACCATATCCCATTAAGATTACAAAAAATAAAGAAATCAATCTAAAATCATATAAGAATTAAGAAATCATTTCATTAACTAGCAAATATCGAGGTTCTGATTGACAAAGACAATAACAGCTGACTGTTAAATTGACACTAGTCAATTTGATTTTTCTAATTTCTTTCAGTTTGCAATATGGCCGTGATGATGTCGTTCGTGTCGGTAGCCGTATCTATATTGTACACGCCGTTTTTACTGTTAATATTGTGTATCATTTTCTTAGCATCAATTGGAAAATCTTTGGGCGTAAGAAGACTCTATGTGAACATTTTACTGAAGCTTTTTGAGGTAAGCCTTTACAACGCCCGCACATTTTACGGTGCTGTCATTGATAATTTAAAAAGAATTCTAATGACCTAATGAAACGTATTCCTTTTATAAATAAAACGTATTGCCATTATGTACACACATTTTAAATATATGGTAGTGCTTATAGGCCGGTGTGACATTTAAACAAATAATTTTTATAGACTGCGTAGGGCGACTCGCGACGCATATTTTGATTTTGTTGTCTAATGGTGTTTTTTATTTTATCATTTTATAAAAAAACAGTTTGGTTTAAAAAGGAATATATTAAGTGAGTTGTTACTGATATCAAAAACACTTTAATAATCAAAATAAGCAATAAGGGCTGTCTATATTTCTATAATGTTTTATTTAAGTTAAATTACAAATTGTTATGGTGCTATAGTTTTGAAAGTGGATCTGTATAATATGTACCTATTACATTTTTTCATTAACAGAGTTTTGTGATAAATGTATTTATTTTTTAACATACAGATATTTTTTATTCTATTAATTTTATCTATTTGAGAGTTCTTAATGTTTAAGAAAATTATTAACTAGATTTCCTATCCATACTTCACGAACACTCCTGCCTCAGAGTATCATGAACTCTACACAAGATACTAATGAGTATGATAATTGTTATAACTTATGAAATCATCTTAGTTTTTCTGTTTACGGTTATAATTTTTTGGTACATAATTTTCCAATGACTCAGAAAAGTTGGTATGTTTGTTACCTCACAAATTATTAATAAATCTCCTTATTGTGTAAAAAATTGTTTCAAATAAAACTTTAAATAGATAAAAATACTCGCTCTGAATCAATAAGATAATTTATAGTACTTAATGTCTTGGTTAAAAGATACTGGCATTTTCCTTTCACATTTCTAAATCTGCTGTTTTGTGTAACATAAACTTAACAATCAATCAGAACATATCATAATACAATAGTTTATGAATATATCATTCTTTTATAAAAAAATATTATGAAGGACAAAACCATTTAAAGTAATGGCCAATAATGTACGATAATTTTAGGAATTCTCACAGTTTGTAGTTGTATATTGTTCATTCATGTGATACTCATTGCTTTCTTGAAGTACTTATTCTTGTTTACGGCATATTATCTAATGAATGTGTTATATCATTATATTACTTGAAACAAATCTTTACTAATTTCAATGTCATACCTTTAGAGCAAGATCACAGGCCCCAGACGTCACGTATTTTCTGACGGATGAAATGTGGACGATTGGGTAGTGTTAGTATGTACTATGATCGTATGCCTACCTGCTAGCTTGGTCAAACGGCCAATTTCCAGGTATCAGGTAATCAAGGTACAAAAAACATTACTTCACGTAAATTCTCATGGCTGATTTTTATATATGTTTTCGAGTGTATAGTTAAAAATAAATTGTCACTCCCAACACTTTCGTCGGCCATAGCAAAACTTTAAGGTCTCAAAATAATTAGTCAACTTCAGTAAATTCTGACGCCATTTTTATATAGTTTATCCGACAACTATTTTAAAAGCTTTGACAAGAAGACAGACCGATCCAAGGGGCCAATCATCCCCTAAACTAAATTTTAATATCTCTATGAGTGAGAGCATTATCTACGGATGAACTGAGTGAGACCGACTGCTGTTAAAGCCATGAAAATTACTTGAAAGATATTTTATAATTTTAGAACTTTTGTTGACAAGTAAATTTTAGCAAAAAAAAAGAAAAAATTACACATAATAAATAATACTAAAGTTAGGACATTTTTTTTTTTTAATTATTAATTAGAACTAAAAATATTTTTAAAAATACCACTTATATTTAAAAGAGCAATTTTTTTAATTAATTATTTATTGGAAATTTGGAAATAAAGTGAAAAATATTAATTCTTCAATATTTCTTAAATCTTTTAAATTTCATTATCATCATCATAAATATCAACTTAAATAAACAAAATTCAGATATCCTTATTTTCTTCCTCTGTAAAAAACAATTAAAAATAAGGTCTAAAAAAAAAAAAACAAATAAATGAGAAACAAAATAATTACTATCTCCAGACTCACTGACAAACCCAATGTCTCATCGAACATAAAATCATATTTACCATCTGGATTTGGGTTGAAAATATTTATCATCTTATACTTGATTGTTAAGTAAATTTGCTACTTTTAAAGGTGGTAAGTTACTGGATGAAGTTTCTAAATTCTTTCGATTGAATTCTTCATTTATATCAGAACATGTATGTAAATAAAACAACTGTAAGACAATAATTATTAAACGTTGAAACATCACAGATAAATTTTTGTAAAAAAGCTCATCTAATACCAACAAAATCAACGTACAAAACGGTGAAATGTTTGGTATCTTCATTTTCTTAAAATAAAAGTGGCTTTTGAAAATAAAATTTTTCAAGTAAAGGAAGGTAATAGGAAAATGTCTCAAAAAATAAAAATTAGGGAAGGGAGCTCGTGTTTTAAAAAGTAAAAAAAAGATAAATTAAGTAAAGAACCCTAAAGGGAGCAAAGAATTCAAACAATTTATTTAACTATACATTCGAAAACAAAAAAAATCAGCCATAGAAAGAAAGGGAAAGGACAAGAGGTAGAAATCAATACAACTAAACTACCAATTCAATCATTGAATGGGGTTGTCTTTTAATCATAAAAATAATTTGTATAATGATTTAGCCTATACCATGTTTCAAACGAGTAATACTTATATCGTATTTGTGATGTCTTTATACGTAACATTCAATTGTTTTTACTAATAAAGTCCACCACTAGCCCTTTTTAACTATCTAATTTAATATTGTTATATATTGTTTAGTTGGATTATTTAAATTGAGTTATTTAACGGCTAGCTCCAAGTTCCAACTGTCCGTATTATATTATAGATTGCTCAGATTAATGAACAGTTGGTGTTTGACAACTCCATGATATAGTCAAACATTACATTTGAAATCATAAAATTATATTGAATGGTTGACTTATGGCGTTGGTGGACATTTAGAACCTACTATGATATGGAACATAATATATATATGTTGCGTGCAGGTACATGTTGAAAGATTTGACTTGTTTATTTTAATATTTGTATCTTCGTTTATACAAGAGAGCCCCACACCAAACAGGTACTAGGTACAGTTCAACTTTTGAATAGTCTTGTAAGATTATGTAATCACGGTAATACTATGTAAAATAATCATAAATAAATAGCATAGTCCTAGCCTACCAGTATATTTATAAGTATACTAGCAGACTTGGCTAAGCGTTGCTGTGGCTAAGGTTTTTGTTATATTCATAGTAGTAAACTATTCAAGGGGAGCGGTAGGAGAACACCAGTCATGGGGACCACCATGCTGTTATGGTGGTTATGCCATTAAATTGTAGCTTATGTGAAACGTTTGTACTTTCGCGCCACCTGTTAGAATCGTGACTGTCAAATAATAAACAAATAATTTTCAATAAAATAATATTACGGGTATAAATGAAAATGTAAGCTAATCTATCTTTTAAGTTAGTTCAAACTGCACACGGTGTCCAAATTTGATTGAAATCGGGAAAGTAGTTTAGGAGTCCATAGCGGACAAACAACGTGACGCGTAATTTATATATATTAAGATATTTAGTAAGCTTATCAAAATTTACTATATTTTAATTTAATTAATAGCTTGTATGGGGAAGGAAAAAATAATTAAAACCGGCATGCCCTTAGACCCATATATCGACGCGTGGCAGGCACATATAGATCACCTACCTGCCCAGTAAAAAATTCAATGAAACATTGTACAATATTTACCAACAAATCATTTTACTGCTAAAAGAACTACACTTGTGTCTCCATGCATATTATCTCGTACGTACATTTATTTAAATGATTATCATTATTTTCATGAATAATGTTTACTAATGCTTATTTCCTGCAACTTTATCATTTGCCAATACTCTCGACTCTGTACTTTGTATTCCGGTGTCGATATTTCAAAGGGCAAGGATTTGTGATACCTATTTATAATGGGGATTAAATATTCACCCGTATCTGATAGCGATAACCTAGTAGGTTAAGCTTGCGATTTTATACCCTGAAATTGCGCGTTGATTGTGCCAATGGATTTTTCCATCTGACAGTGGGCGGAGGATCTGGCTAGTGGTAGCTGGGTTCTACACTATCAACGCGTTCGGACCACATCTCGACAAATAAGTGAGGAGGCGGTGGGGCCGCCTCAGCTACCGACTCGTGCAGATACTGTCCGGACATGGCTGTTTCGGCAGCTATTTGCACAAGGTAGTCGGGCGTGAGGAGGCACCAACCTGCCACCATTGCGACGCTGGCGTTGTTGATGACGCGCTCCACACCTTAAAGGATTGCCTAGCATGGGAGGTGGAAAGGAGGCCTCTACTGGGCGTGCTACAGGGCGAGGACGCTACTCTCGATAACATTGTGAGAGTAGCAGTTACAAGCTCGGACAGT